TATATATACATTTATTTACATTTTGTTTTTTTAACGACAAGAAACCATGTCAACATTTTTTATTTAATTATTGATAGGTGTGCATGTCTATAATTAAATGTCTTTGTATTATATTAAACATATGAATGTATTATAATTTATAAAAGGTTATAGACTATGTATTACCTGGTGAAGCAGCAAAGTATGGAATAGATTGATCAATTATTAGACCGCAAGAAGAAACTTTATGACCTAATTTAGTTTCCAAACATTGTATAGCGATTGATTCCATTGATTTTCCATATTCAGTTGCGGCTGAAGAAAAATGTCTGTACAACAAATCATAAACCAAAGGAGGTAATCATAAACGATGTTGTTGATCTTCGTTTACAAATTCGGCCAAAGTTAGAAGCAGTGAGACGGTTTTTTCGTTCAATATGCCATTTTTGACATGCTGCTTGTTCCCTTGTTTCTAACTCCAACTGTTGCCTTGCATTTTCATTCAGTGTGATAGAATGCAAAAAATGTGTTTTTTTTTCTTCGATGTCATGTAAAGAGTATTCATCTAGAAGCGGTTCAGCTAAGCCGTAATGTTCATCTGCACCGCGTGATTTTTTCAAAATCAATTTTTTCTTAGGAAACAACTGCCTTCTTGTTTTAAGTGCTGCTGCTTTCCTTTCTCTGGATTTTAAAAATTTCTTTCCTACATGACCTATAAATTATAACAATATTGGCATAATATGTAACTAGTTTTTATAACATATATATTTTACTAAATTACCAGGACTAATTTCATTGAATGCATGTTTGTGTAATGAACGTAAAAATTGACCTGAAGTATTATATGATACAACAGCAGACTCAATTCTTGTATTATACGAATTTCGTAATGAAAAATTGATCCGTTTTCCACACAAGTGTTTATTTATAATACTGTTGAATTGTTCACACACATTATTGTCCACGTTTAACAATAAATTTTCAGTATGCATTAGTCGTCCAACTATTTGATTTATTTCTGTTACTAGGCCACATTTTTCCGCGTCATCTAACAAATCAAATGAACTTGATTTGTTTCCATTACAAAAATATTTTTCACAATGCTTATGACTACCCATAATATGGCAAAAGCTATTTGTAATATCTTTACGTAATCCTATATAGAATAAAATTAAATATATATTAATATTATATTAGAGTAAAACACAAATTATCACTTAGGATTTAGGAATGTAGATAATTGGTAACATAATATGGAGTAAGTACGAGTAATATGTGTATTATTATTTTTATAATGTACTTATATTAGTATACTAATATACTTATATTGTTATTTATTTACTTTTGTGATTATCATCACTTTTTGGAGCAGAAAAAATGCTTTAATCTTTAATTTAAAGTTTATGGTAGCCAATTGGATAATAATTATTATAATATAGTATATACAGTTATACAAGGTAAATGTGTTGTTCACCATGCGTCAGGCATGCTAACACCTATCTTTTTTTCAATAATGAAATGGATATACAAACTTCTGTTATTCAAATTAGAAAAACAAATTCTTTTTTTAATTTAAACTGTTTAGTGAATATTTTTTTTGGAACACTGGCAAATTCTCCTTTATAATGTTTGCCGTATAACAATAATAATATAAATAAATTATAAAATAGCCTTAAAAAAAGAGACAGACACCTCCGTTTTCTCCACTAAAAATCGATTTTCATATGACATATCAATCATATCATACCTACAATCATTGAATAACATTTTAACACTTTCATAACAGTGACAAAGTACATTTTAAAGTTTAAATCCAGTGGCGTGCCCATTGCTTATTACTCATTCAATAACCTAACATATAACAGAGCGACCCATTTATTTTCGACTTTATATCAAAATATGTGTTAGTTTGTGATGAGTTTATATTTCGATGCAATTAAAATTTTTTTTTATCGGCTGTATCGTTTAACTTATACAAATATAAGAATATAAATCAATATTGTTATTACTCACCGGAGACTTTTTGATGTTTCGTTTGATTACTCAATGAACTCCGATAGTCTATGGCTTTAGTGATAGCAGATCTAAATCGCTTTGCATTATTTGTAATATGGTTTCGCAATGGTATTGGGAATTTACTATTTTTAACAATAGCAGCCAGTTTTGTACCATAATTCCTTAGTAAATGGTTTCTACATTCAATTTTTTCAATATGGAAATTAGGACCATACGGTCTCATTTCCAACAATCTTTTGCTGACACTAGAGTCACCATCACCTGTAAAAAATAATATTAGTTAATTCTATTAATTATTATCACTTTTAAATAGTTTTTATAAGTAGATTTCTTAATAAGATACCAATTAATTTATTAAATTTTAAGCCATGTAATTCAATGCTTCGTTTGAACCCTTCGGCAACAGCATCAGCCTCCATCGCTGTTGAAGCATTGTTCCAATTTAAAAAACAAGTGTGTTTCGGAACTGATTTTTTTGAATTTTTCGATCTTTGACAAATTAAACAATATCTATTTCTTATACCAATAAATAAGATTTTTTTGGTTTTATATCCAATTATTGTAGCCTGAAAATTGTAAAAACACAATAGTAGGTAATTACTTTAAAATAAATTACTTTTGAATTATTTTTTATTAAAAGTAGGTATAAGTGTATAACTGTAGAATTATTGTATTTACCACGCCGGACAAAGCATCATACTTAGTTTTGTAGCTACGTTTTGACCACTGACCGTCAGCTACAACTGTGCACATGGGTATACCATCTAGGTATGTCTAATTCATTTGCATCTATCGCTAATCGCCTTTCTTCTTCACCGGCTAATCTCATTGCTTCTTGGGCAATACAATGAATTTTGTCACCGATTTCTTCTTGACCAGATAAAAATGTACTACTACTCATACATGGAATATCGGTGGAAGCTAATATTTCCTCAAGTTGTGAATATCCTATTCCGATTGATATTGAACCACTGATCGCGGCTAAATTTACAGGTAAATATGTCTCTGGGACCTTTTTTTCAGACTCAATTTTGATGTTAATTTTACACATTTTACATGTGAATTGAAATTGCGACCTTAGACCAAAACGTATTTCACGTACAAACTCCATATCCATGAAAGTACATCCGAAACCGCCTTCGTGGATACATTTTTTAATTTGTTCAAATATGTAGAATATGTCCGCTATTCGACGACCTAAAGAACATACTTCTGTTGTTGTTCTATAATTATTAATATATACAAATGATAATTAGTTATAAATCAGTATTTGTTAAAACAGATTTCATACTAAATATTACATACTTAGGAGTATTAGTTATTTCAAACGACAATCCTGGAAGAGATTTATCATCTGGTTCCAATATAGGAGAATGAGCAATAATATTTGTTGATTGCTCACCAAATAAATCATCATACATTGGAGTATTGTATACTTCAAATGATGGTCCTGGAAGTGATCCATCTGCAGCTTCAGTTGTGGACGATTCAAAAAATACATTTTTTGTCTGCTTATTGATATCCTCACTATTTTTTATTTTTTTTTTTAATTCGATAAGAAAAAAATAATGAATAAGTATTATAATACAGTCATAAATTCGGTGATAATATTCAGTATTAGGTACTTAGTACTTACCTCACAATTTTACAATTCTTATTACCATTACGAACTCCTTTCATTCGTCTTTTTAAAGACATTTTACCGGATCGTCGAGATTGATTCGTTAAAATAGCACGCAATTTTTTTGGTGACATATATTATGAAAATAAAACCGTATAAGCGCAAGTATATTATGTTTTTTCACTAACGAACTAAACAATAATAACTAATAATAATAATATTATGGGTTATAATATAATATAAAACATAAAACATCAAAACTTCTTAGTGCTTACGACGTGCATACAATATAAGACATAATATCACACGGAAACATTTTATTAACAAATGCAAAGATTCAAATTACAAAATGTAGGTATTAGTGTATATAACCTCTTTGTTTACTTTAATCCTCGACAAAAAAATGTTTACATACATAAATACATTCTTGGAGGTGGACATAAAGTTAATTTCATGAGAAAATATAATAATAATAAATAATGTATTAGAATTTTCATCTAATTTAAAATTGAAATATTATTTGTTTATTTTATTATTTCCTATATATTATAGACGTGCACAAAAATATTTTTTTCTGATGATTGCTTATTACTTATTCAAGTTATTTGTCTTTTATTTTGTATCCATCATCATCTTTTGGGAAATTAAAAATGTTTCGATTTTCTTCAACAACATCTTTTCTTTTAGAAATCATAGTTGGTGCTTTGGGGATCAAGCAGTGTCGGCCTGGCCATAGCCGCTGGGCCGCGAACGCGGCCGGGGCCTCTCTGATTTTTTTAAGGTCTCGTACAAGTTTAATACAATTCATTATTCATTTACGCACTTGTAATCTACTGTACAGCAGAGCGACATCCACTTAGCAGCTTTTTTTTTATTTGTTTGGCATGTGCCTGGTCTATATAAGGAGTAAGGACCCCGTAAAGTATTTATCGAAATATTTAACCACGTACGCAATTTTTCTTTACAGGGCCCAGATGCTTGCCTATTATTATAGTGTGAGCATTGCACTATAAATTATAATAGTACAAGTTTCAAGTCATAAATAGGAGGAGATTTTTTTGGATTAATTGTGCTAGGTACTGCAAGTTAAGTTAGGTTTTATATCTCTCCTTAAAAACAATGGGCTAAGACGAGGAAATATTATTAGTAGGTAGGTACCCACTTTTTTTTTTCCGAGTGTAATCACTACATGGGAGCCGAACTGTTTTCACATTGCTTAACTCCCATGCAGCATCGTTTATTTAACAAAAAATGTACATAACTTTGTTTTCAGCTCGCATGAGTCGTGATTGAATAGTACCACCGACCCATGATGCCTCACAATATTTTTACAATCGGTCACAGGAGCATAGTCGGGTCGAACCTGTAGGTACCTACCTACTTGAGACTTTTAGAATACATTAATATATTTTATGCACACAATGACATTTTCAAATGTAATTTTATTGGTTAAAATGAATTCATCCTACTGTTATATTAATGCCTATAATACTATAATAGTAAAATAAACTACTAATTAGTAATAATTCTGTATTGAATGCTTACAACAGGCGTGTATTTCAAAATAAAAAAAATAAATTTTTTCGTATACAAGTCAAGTGGTTATTTTTATGATTTTTAAAATTTCAAAATCATCTTTTATTAATTATTTTATTTATCATTAATTTTAAAGTACGTTACCTTTTTTTTAAAAAAAAATAAACAACTACCATTTTAAAAATGTTAATAAAATATTTTTAAAAAATGTTTACTTTTTGATTTTAAACAGATTATTACGACAGGATGAACTTTATTTAACAAAAATAAGGAGATTTCAAAAAGTTGTAAAAAATAATATACATTTTTTTACTATTAACAATTTTCTAAAACCCACATTTACAAATTGTCTATTTTGAATTTTTTTTAAAAAAATTGCATCAGATTTAAAATTTGTATTATAAATAAAAAAGGTTCTAGGTACTATATATTATTTAGTGCAAGAGTCAATAAATTATATATAATAAAAATATTGTTTGTCAGGTCTCGTTACAGCCTGTATAACAAGTAAGGACGTAAAATAAATATTTTACGTGTAATTGCCAATTAATGTATAAAATAAATTGTATCAAGAATTTAATTACAAAAATTTTGGTTATTTATATAATTTATAAATAATGTACAATTTACTAAGTTATCATAAGAAACTGTTTTACAGCAGGCGAAGATCACGTTGTGTTTTTGATTATACGGCGCGCGGCGCGGCGGCGCTTGACCGACAATAATATAAATTATAAAAATGATTTTCTTCGTAATTATATTATTACGGGATTTCGCATGTAGAGTAATAGTACCACTCTATGGTGTCTACGTTTCCAAGGTCGCGACGGCGCTACACTTTTACGATATCGCGAAGTTTATGTGGAGTCGACTGGAGACGAATGGATCTTCGCAGGAAAAAATTTTTTGTGTCCGTATATAATATTGCCTACATTTAGCCCCTTTTTTGCAGTTATCAAAATGTGACAACATTGATAAACCGATAACATAATTTTCATTATAAATTATAATATTATATTTTATTATATTAATTATAATTAAAATAGTTAAATACATTAATAGTTAATAAGTTATTAAAAAACACAATATCGTAATTTAAAATTTAAAAATACAAAATTCATTGAGAATACAGTATAAATGTACAACCTATTTACGTGGAACATTATTTTAAATTTTAAATCTTTAGCTATAAAAGGTAAATTATATAATACAATTTAAAATTTGATAAATATTTTCAAAATTCGAACTAGTACCCAGATCGCAATTGTGTAATGATATTATTATTATTATAGTACACAAATATTGTTATAAAAATATTGTTATTATAATAACATAACTATCCAACTAACATGATATTTTTACATTATAAATTATAATTAAAATAGTTAATAAATTTAATAATACACAATTCAAAAAAAAAACACAATATTCATTATTCACTTACGATCGTCATTTAAAAGATACAGTTCAACAATATATTAAGAAATTCATTTTCTTTTAGGGCTATAAGAATGATCGTCATATGAATGAACATTTAAAACACTTGTATTATATTTTAGTAAGGATTTTCTTATTATATTACCTTCACTCGACGACAATTGATGAAATTCAAGTTTATTTTTTTTATTTTTAGTAAAGAAACGTGGTTGTTTTTCAATATTTTTTTTATGTTAATTGTATTTATATCTTCTGTTTGCATAGGGTTTGATTCGTTTGTAAGTAATTCAATAATTTTATTGCAATGTTTTAAAATATGTTTTTTTGTGTACTGTAATAATAATAATATCATTACACAATTGCTATCTGGGCATTTGAAAATATTTATCAAATTTTAAATTGTATTATATAATTTACCTTTTATAGCTAAAGATTTAAAATTTAAAATAATGTTCCACGTAAATAGGTTGTACATTTATACTGTATTCTCAATGAATTGTATATTATTAAATTTTAAATTACGATATTGTGTTTTTTAAAAACTTATTAACTATTAATGTATTTAACTATTTTAATTACATTTAATATAATAAAATATAATATTATAATTTATAATGAAAATGATGTTATCGGTCTATCAATGTTATCACATTTTGATAACTGCAAAAAAGGGGCTAAATGTAGGCAATATTATATATGGACACAAAAAATTTTTTCCTGCGAAGATCCATTCGTGACTGGAGTGGTGGGTGCCGCCGAAAATAATTCACTGTTTTTCCGTTAGGAGCAGCACACTATGGCACACGACGACGAGATAAATTTTATAAAATACGATTCTTAAGAGGACGCCACACCCGCATGTGTTGTCTCCGTCTTACAAATATACAACATGGCAAAAACTCTTTTGCGAGGGACAACTTTTCTCGCACCATATTTGTTGTAGAACTACCAAATTTTCACGGCACTTAAAGAAGAACTTTATCTGTGCAACAGCGTGCTCTTTTTTTCAATAACATATATACAATACAAGTTATTTGCTTCTAAACATTTGGTTTTTTAATTTGTTTATAAAAATTGATTGGATGGTGCTATTGAAAAAAAGAGCACGCTGTTGCACAGATAAAGTTCTTCTTTAAGTGCTGTGAAAATTTGGTAGTTCTACAACAAATATGGTGCGAGAAAAGTTGTCCCTCGCAAAAGAGTTTTTGCTATGTTGTACATTTGTAAGACGGAGACAACACATGCGGGTGTGGCGTCCTCTTAACATAGTAAAATAGTTTGGCGGGTATCAAATGTACTCGCTCTGTATTTATGGTACAATTACCAAAATTTCACAGCGCATTGCGAAGAACTTTATCTGTGCTGTAGCGTTTTCATTTTTTTAATATCATTACCCAATGATTTTTTATAAGCTAATGAAAAACAACAAAAAAAGCAAATGTTTGATAATAAATAACTTAAATTGTATTTATGTTACAAAAAAAAGAAAAACGCTACGGCATAGATAAATTTCTTTTTTATGCATCGTGAAATTTTGGTACTTTTATCATAAATACGGTGAAAGAAATGTTGATACTCGCAAAACAGTTTTTACACCCAAATATGCGGTGGTAGGACGGCCT